CGAGCGAAATACGCTGCCGTGAGACCGGACACACCGCGCGGACCCGGCACCGTATTTATCGATCGCAAGCGGCCCACGAATTCTATTTTTATCCTCCAATCACAGGTCGGAGCAATTCCTCTGTTTAGACGCATGTGTAATAACGCTGTTGGCGAGGTTCGGCAACGCGCAAATTCTTGCGAGATCACATTGTAAAAACTGCCAAAATGTCGCCAAAAATGAAAGAGCTCTTCTTATTACAGATAATTTCATATAACTGCAGTGTTTCCCCTGCATTGACACGAACGAGGCAGGCCGCCTCACTCAAATTCTCAGCCGCCACACAGTCGCCTCGCTGACGAATAAACTACACATTATTGAACTAAAATCGGAAAAGCTTCAAAAGTAAAACACAATGCCGCACAACAAACAAAAGAGATTCAAGAATCTCATACAATCTGTTCAGAATAGCTTAATTAGAATGCACCAAATTGCACCATTGCAACTGTATGGCATACAACATCTGTTTATCTGCATTCCCAGCAGTCCGAGCCCACTACTAATTTGTGAGTTGCAAATCCCTGCTGAACCCTGCCAACGGGTGACACAGAGCAAGCTGCCGCTTGTTCGTTCTATCGCATCGAAATGTTAGCCACTTTACCGTGCCAATGGCAAAAGGTTGAAACTGAAAGCTTGTTTCGTCGCTCAATGACGTCATGTACAAAATTTAATTTTTTTTTTTTAATAGGGTTAGCGTCACAATGCACCTTAAAACAGGAGTTTGAGTCCGTACGGACGTGACGCCACTGTGACGTCATTGAGCGACGAAACAAGCTTTCAACCTCTTGCGTGTCAATTAGAGCTGTGCGTCGGATCCGACATGAACCAAAAATCCGATCCGACAGCATTTTTGAAAATCCGAATCCGAATCCGAATCCGATGGCTATTTTGAATCCCATCCGAATCTGAATCCGATGGCAATTTTTGAATCCGAATCCGAATCCGAATCCGATGTGTATCGCTAAATCCGATCCGAAATCCGACCCGAATCCGGAACATAGAAATTGTAAATAGTGTGACAGCATTGTGTAAAATTCGTGTTATAATTTGTTTCAACATCAAACTTTGGGTTGTTGAGATCAAGGGATGGGGTGAAGGGGGACTGTAGACGTAAGAAAAGTTAGAGAACGGGATGATCAGGAATCTGGAACGATAATCCATCCAACGTTGGTCCAACGGCTTTTCGCTGAGCATGCCTGATCCCTCTGGTTCTCTCTCTCTGTCACACACACACAACCCAAACATGCACACCTCTCTCTCTCTCTCTCTCTCTCTCTCTCTCTCACACACACGCTCACACACACACACACACACACACACACGCGCGCACACACAACACAGGCACAACACAAACACGCAACAATTCTCTGCTCTCACACACACACACACCCACAGCATACACAACGTCGTGACACCTCTCTCTCTCTCTCTCTCTCACCGTCCTCTCTCCTCTCATCTCTCTGCTGCTCTCTCATCTTCTGCTGTCGTCTCCTCTCGTCTCTTCTGCTCCCTCTCGTCTGAATTCGTCTCTCTCCCGCGCCCCATCCTCTCTCGTCTCACTCTCTCCGCTCACTCCCTCTCTCTCTCTCGAAATCTCTTCACCCCACACTCATCGTGCGAGC